TAGGACTTCACTCGTGTGTGTAAAGGGCATAAATCCCATGGGCTTTCATAGAATCAGAGGGTTGGAAGAGACCTCAGGAGGTTATGGAGTCCAACCCCTGTTAAAAGCAAAGCCAACTCTAAGTCGTCCCAGCCAGGGCTTTGGGACAGAACTTAAAAACCTCTAGGGATGGAGTTTCCACCACCTCCCTAGGGACCCCATCCCAGTGTTTCACTACCCTCCTTGTGAAATACTATTTTCTAATATCCAACCTAGACATACCCCACTGCAACTTGACTTTAAAGTAGGATACGGTACCCCCGACACTTTATGTGCTTTTGAAAAATTACACACTTGTCTGTGTATCTCATGTCATTCCATAATCTCTAATACTCCTCTGCAGCTAATGGAGAACAGCTTTTCGGCCAGCCTATAGTGGTTGTGGCTGTAATCCCTGCTGTAGAACACTTGTGGCTTAGCTGGTGTTCATTGGTGTGTCCTTGCAATTTGTTGCAATCCAGAGGATCAAACCATCAGGGACTGATGGTTTTTCAGTGGAGTTTTGACAACTGTTCCTATTGCTCCCTTTCATTTGGGAAAAATGTATATCCTTATGGGAAGTTGGGGGGGAGGGAGTTCAAAGAAGGGAAATGGTTACCCCAAACTCAGTCACAGCGATGTCCGTTCTATGGCAATGGAGTTTGGCATTTTAACTAGTATGCTATGAAACTTGTTCATAGTCTCTTACCTCCTTGCCTTTCTTGTGCCCGCCTAGAGCTGCATCTTGCCTTTCTCTCCAGAAGCGTTGCATCGTGTTCACTGTGCTCTTTGGGCTGTGTGTGGAGCGAGGCAGCAGGCTGGCATCCTCCATTCCTCCTCTTCCTCGTTCGGTGCATCTGCCGCTGGCAGCCTGACTTGCCCCCCATGGTGGGCTCAGACCCAAGCACTCCTCCAAATGCTTGTTAGCAGCTGTAACGGCTGCATGTTTTCTCAGCAAAGTGGCCGTCTTTACGAGAGAAACCCACTGCATTCCCCACGAACCTGTGAGTTCACACAATCACACACTGGCCGGGCTGTAATTCTGCAAGTCTTACGAGAGCCAGCCTTAGGATCAGTGTGACCTGTGAAAGCTGACAAGCCATAAAACTGGGGAGACCCTCATTGTGCCCTCTGTCTCCAGTGTTGTGTTGGCATCTGCCCGTCAAGTCAAAGCAGGCACTAGCTCCAGGGATGCAGTAAGCAAACACATTCTTGGGGTAGCTGCAGATGGCCTGGGAGCAAGCATCTAGATCAGTTCAGGAGCGCCAGTGTTTCTCAACCCAACCGGGTGAAATGGCAGAGGTGCCTTTTGCCCTACTCTGATGTTTTGTGGGCGTGAGTAGGATCTCTACATGAGTGCTTTGTTTTTTCGGCATGCTGGCGGGTGGAGGAGTCTCTCTGCAGCTTTCCAGGAGTCTCGTCTCACGGCAAGGTTGGACTGGCACTTGAGTTGGGAGCCAACTGTGCAGTGGCAGCCTTGTGGTGCTATAATCCAGTCCAGCGCATCCCAAGCCATATGGACATGTTTAAATTACTGGGAAACGTAAACCACAAAGAGGATGCTAGCATGACAGAAAACCATATCTGAGGCTGCGGAAGCTCAACCCAGAGAGCCAAGTGGTGTGAATGGGACCTGTTCGTATGATGAAACAGACGCTGCATCAACGGCTCCTTTTCCAAATTTGTTTGGCTTCCATGTTTGAGCTCAAAACGCATGAGATCTCCTTGGTGATGCGGCTCTGCTCTTGCAGAATATTTCACTGGCCAGCGCTGGCTCGATCGGAATGTTTCCCTTCAGGGAAGGGTGACTCTGGTGCGGCTTCTGCACCTGAGGGGTTCAAACAAGTGTAGTAGGCTTGCAACAATCCTACATTTCCTGTTGTGCTAAATGGGCAGGGCCGCCCTGGGGTATGGACAAGGCTGAGAACCAGTATTAAGGAATTTTAAAAGCGCTCCTGAAGCGTGTTGAGAGAGCTTTGGACTTGTGAGTGTTATCAAGTGTTTGAGAAGCCGAGTACTTATACCCACCTCTTTCTTCCCCAGACGGGAAAGCTGAAATGAGCTGTGATCTGCCTAAGGCCAGAGGGGGGAGAGTCGGTGTCCGTTGAGGTCCAAGCACAAGACGAGAACTCCTGGAGTTCCCGGTTTCCAGTCTCCTCTCTGTCAGCAGGCAAGCATTCTGCCTGCGCAATCTCACAACAACTAGCCAATGTAGGCTGAGTGACTTTCCATAAGGAAAGCCTTCCTTGTCATCCCCCATAGGGGTTCACAGAGGGGACCAACATTTTGAAATAATGAAAAACACAATGTCCCCATTGTCACTTATATTCAAAGTGAGGGGTGCAAAATAAACACTTACGCATAGGCTCTACTTTAAGCCTTTTCCTGCCCTTGTGCTTATCAACATACCGTAGGTGCCATGGTCTAGAGACTTTCCATGCTCGTTTTCTCTATTAAACATTTAAACGCCCACAGAGAATGCAAGCTTGGAGCAGGAGTTGGATTCAGAAATAATTTCCTAGACCATCTTTATGTAGAAACTTGCCTTGGCTTAATGAATGTTGGTAAATCAGAACAAGTCAATGAATGGACAAGGCCATTAGCAGTAGATTTGAAAGTATAGTACTACTTTTTATTAAAGCCATAAAAAATCCTGATTGCTATATGGCTTTAGATTCATCTGGATGCAAATATTTCAAGAGTTAAAATGAGTCATTAGGATTCAGCTGATCTGTGGCAGAATTAAGTTTTTTCCCTGTCCGTGCAGCTCTGACTCTTGGCTCTCACATTGATAACACACTCCAATGTAATTGTGACTACAGGTTTACAGGAAGCTGACGGGTATGAACCTCCTAAGATAAGCGTGGTTTCCTGCAAGGACCTCTGAGCCTCATTGTTGGTACAATGTGTCCGGCTAGCATACGGGTGTATCGAATATTCTGCTCCAGAATATTTTTGCCCTTCAGGTGGGCTCTGCATTAGTGCCCACTGTTAACGAGTCTCACTAAAATCAGTGGTAAGATTCCTGTTGCCTGTAGAGTTAGCCCAGCAATGAGTTCTTCTGAGAATTCAACCTTTACCTTTTTTTTTTTAATTAGCTGGCTACTGCCTAATGATTAGATAGATGAGAGGCTGCGCTCAGAGGAGCCAAGCAACCACAGCTCCACTTTTGAGCTTCATTGGGAGCTCTGAAAACTGAGACCTTTTGCCCCCGTTCTGCCAGTTGCTGAAGGAATTAGCATGTTGGGGGTGTATTCAATGCGTCTGGTGCTGAAGTTGGCTCCCTGGTTATAGGTTGTCTTTGCTTCTGCATGTAAAGCCAGTTTCATTGGAGGCAGTGCGCACACACAAGTTGCTGCAGTCCCAAGTCCATGCATAGAATTTCCAACATAATTTAAGCTCGTTTTTAAGGCTAAACAGTTTGAATCGGCGTTTCCTAGTGCCAGTGGACCTTTAATGCATATGTAATTTAAGCTCGTTTTTAGGGCTAAACAGTCTGAATCTGCTGTTTCTAGTGCCAGTGGACCTTTAATGCATATTGTGGAACATGGAATGCTAAGGTCTTCAGTTACATTCCATTTACACTTGAAACACTTCAGCATTTTAAGGAAGACAATCTCTCATTAGTATAAAGCCACAACTGCAAGAAACAGTAGCTATGTCGGAAGGAGACAGCCTCTTGTCAACATAGCTCTGTCCAGGAGCTATCTGAGGCCGGCTGCAGCAGCTGGCACCCCAGGCGGAAGGCGCAATCGGCACCCTGGTCTCCACGGCCGTCAATAGCCCTGAGGTAATCACGGGGAACCCCAGCTAAAGATTGCTGGGAAATAAGGTTGATCGCTGTTGAAGGATTGTTTCATGAGGCTTAAATGCTGCTTGTTGGGTTTTTTTTCTTGTCAAACTCCCCTAAAACTTGCTTTCTATTCATGCACTGTTTGCTAGTGTATTCGGGGCCCCATCTCTGCCCTCTTTGTCCATTGCATTATCACCCAAGATCCTATAGACAGAAACTCGAGACAGAGGGTAGAAGAAAGGAAGCACTATCACCGTTGCATGAATGGGAAGCCGAGGGGTTCAGAGCCGCAACCCAGATGTCCAGAGTTCTAGTTTTGCATTTAAACCCTCTTTCCCGTCACTGTAGTTTGACTAAGGAGTTTGTCTATGCTATCTGCTGGATTGACAGCCAGTGATCGATCCAGTGGGGATCGATTTATTGAATCTTGTACAGACATGAGAAACTGACCGCTGAGTGCGCTCCCGTCAGCTCTGGAGCTCCACCAGAGCAAGAAGCGTATGCAAAGAGGATGGGAGAGCTGTCAACTTAATGCGGTGAAAACCTGCTTGCTTGCAGTTTCTAAGGACATTGACTTCAGCAACGTTATTAACGTAGCTCAAGTTGCATAACTAAGATCGATGGCCCCTCGGTATTGTAGACCAGTCCTCACAGCGTCCCGTGATCTAAGTAAAGCTTAGGGTGTGTGGAGACATGCAAAGCAATCTACAGTTTCCCAAACTACTCTTGATGGAGTAAATTTGGATGCAGGTGAGGATTTGGCTTTACCTGTTGCAGCCATTTTACCTGTTGCTTTTCTTCCGCTCTTTCCAGTAACTAAAAATCTTGTTTTTATTGCAGT